GCTCCTCTCTGGAGATGCTCACCTCGGCAAATCCCAATTTAATAGTTTTTATATTTATTATTATTTAATAATTTAATGAACTCCTGCTTCATCAGCAGTGTCCAGTGTGCTGTGTCTACAGTTTAAAGTGCTAATGCTACCTGGCTGTAAGTAAGACCAAATTCCAGCAGTTCCCTGCTGGAACTGAGTTCTAGCTGGTTTGCTTTCAATAATTTCATATGCTTGAGAGAGCAGTTTACAAAATAACAATGATTTACTCTGCTGGCTTTCCACATGTTTCAATTTACAGACCTCCCTGTAGAGAAGCAGGTCACCCTACAACAAATTTAAGTCCATTCACTGACAATAGCTTCCTTGCCTTTCATGAACCCCGCAGAAAGAACTCATGGACTCCTCAGGGTTTGCAGACCACCTACTTACACCTGATGCGTTCCATTAAGGCAGGTCTTGTATAGTTACACACCTACCAAAAGAAGTATAGAACTGGCAAAAATGTGTTATTTCTTACACAGATTGAAGGATGTGTAACATAGATGCATCTAACAATTTATATTAAGCACACATTGCTCCATCGCATTGCATATGCTCCACCACAGCAGCTGATCCTGAACCCCTGAAGAGGAATTTTATCACTAACAGCACTGAGTGCAGGATTTGGCCCATGTTTCTTAACACATAGTAATGCTGAAGATCTATGTTGTTATTTTATTGAATATTTTTTATCTTATCACATGTAAGCTGACTAAACGACGAGTTATTTATAGAGGCTAATTCACATTTTTACAGCATATGGATGTGCTTTTTGCCAGCTTTAGCATGAATACAGTTTATATTCATTAAGGCTGAGCTATCTAATTAACCATAGACAGAATTAGCGAATAGCTTTCTAGTAATAGTACCTCATGGTTGCCAGTAATTTCATTTGGGATTTCATACGCTGCAGACTTCTGATCTTCAGCAGTGACACCAGCCACAACATCTACCTCGAAGGACTCTGCCTCTGGACAGGGCTGTTCCCCTTGATCAGACTCCTCTTGATCAGACCCCTAGCAGCAACCAACCACAAGAAATGTGTGAGTTAGAATATTCTCCTGCTCTCTACAAGACCAAACAGTGTCAAGCCTGAAGACATGCAACAACACATGACACCTGCTTTTGAGAACTTGTGCTCTGACAGAGACCGTCAGTGTCTCTCTGTCACTGCCCAGGCCAGGCAGATCCTGGGGTTATGAAGTTGCATGGCTTGAGAGCTCAGAGGTGCTGACTCAAATGAATGTCCTCTGCTAACTGATTAATGCATCAAAAGTAATTTCATTCAATCTTAGGAGAGAATGCATGATATATTCTTGACAATAGATGTCATCAGTGTCTGGGCTCCACTGAGAAATAAATGAGGGTGAAGACTCATTGAAAACTATCTTTAAAAAAAAAAAAAAAAAAGGAACAAAACTCTCTACCTTAGATTCTGTCTCTGCAGCTGTTGGTGATGTTATGCAGGATGAATAGATGTCCGAAGGTATGCCTTCTTCCAGCAGAGCAGGGAAGGGGGGAGCTGCAGGTTCAGCAAGTTCAATTGCAGACTGGCAGAATGGGGGGAAAATAATAAAATAAAAAAAAAGGTAATTCAAGTTTGATTATTGCTCAGAGGTTTATTGCAGATTTTTCTAAGTGGAAACAAAATGGCTGGCAAACAACAAAAACCAATACCTTTTTTGTTACTATCCAGGTGCTCAGAACTGGAAAGCATACTGAAAATTATTATAGATCAGCTTTAATTTCTAGCTGCATCTCAAGGGGCACTCTTTATAATACTTGGCAAGAACAGATGATTTTCATAATTTCATAACACTACAGCTTCTTACTCATGTGGATAATTAAGTTTAGAAAACACAGTGCTTAGGTAACATGCAGTCTTCCCAATACAAATATGTCACTTTTGAACAGGGATCTGGTTGCATTTTGGAATTAAAGGGCCCAGCTGACCACTAGAGTACTCTATCAAAGAAGTCAACTGGAGTAAAGTTGTAGTCACCCTGCATCATATAAGGCCCCTTAGAAAAATATTTTAATATGTGGGTATAATTTAAGAGTTGCTAACAGTACAAGTTTTGCTGCTTCATCATGCTTGCTCCCATTTCTCTTTGTTCTAAACATGGGAACCTCACTGGTATTCTGCTGGCATGTGAACTGTGGCTCCACGAATGCTCTGACAGGGAAATGGCCCCTCTGAAGAAGCTGGATGCAGTACTTAGTCTGTGCTTGGGCTCTTGTGAGTGACTCAGGTGGCCCTGCATCCTCTAAAGGGACAAGGGTTTGTGCCTTCTTTTGCATGTGTGGCTTTTATGGTTTGTGTTTCGGTTGGTTTGTTTGGTTTTTTAATGGATGAGAGAGAAGAGGGGGACAAATTTTTTGAACAAGCAAGGAACAGGGTATAATACTAAAATGGTATATCTGGGGCCTCTACAGGGGGAAGTGCCCACTGAGAATATGAGGCAGATATTCCAGTTCTGGGTCGGCTATTACAAACATGTAACTACATTAGTTCACATCACAGTAATTGCAGCTCCCATTAATTAATTTCCTTATACCTTTGAAATCATAGCTAGGCTGATATTTGATTTCTTTAGTTACTTGCTACAGTAAACATGCTGAAAATATTCAAGAGCCTATACATTTGCAAAAGTGGTAACAAAAACTCAAAATAAAAAGTGAGACCTAGCCATTATGCTTTATTGCATTAAAAATCTCTTTTGTAGTTCTAGAAACTTTTCAGAAGTTATATTTGGACTTTGTCTTCATCTTCAAGATTCCCTGTCATGTGTGAGCTCACTAAAAAAAGTAGACAGTATTAACTCATGTTTATAAGAACCCAAGAGCCTGATAGGAAGATTTCCCAAATTTAAGTAAGAAGAAAATCAGATTTTATAGAAACACTTTCCTGTGTCACTAATGACTCAAATTTTACAGCACTGTGCTAGTGCCTACAGACTCAAGAAAGGAATAGCTGGAAACTGTAGTTTGTGCATCAATATGCAAAAGCCTTGAGTTGAGTTAAATATTATTTCTAAAATAAAAGGAAGCTTTGTTCTCAAATTCCTAAAAAAAAAAAAAAAAAGAAAAAAGAAAAAAACCCAAACCCAGAAACCTAGAGCTCTTTTGATTTAGCAAATACTTCAATTTTCTCTGATTTCTTACCTTATATTTTCTTATTTCAAATATTCCCTGAATTGGATGAGAATTCACAATTACTTTCTGGTTCCTTAAAATAACTATTTTTTTTCTAGTTAGTTAACTATTTACTCAAAATAATTCCTTGATTTAGATAAAATCATTATTCCATTTTTTCCCTCCAGTCCAAATTTAAAAAAAAATTAATGTAAAAAAACTAGACTGGGCTTTTAAATCAATTTCTGGCTGATCAAATACAATTTTGTAACATGGATAAGATTTTCAGAAGTCCTTTTTTAGAATAATATTTTTACTTCACTGCATCCTTTTAAAAAGAGCCATTCTTTACTCATCTGTTCCATGTCTAATAATAACCCTTGGATCTTGAAGAAATAACTAAATTACAGCAGAACTAGTCTCTTTAATGAGCCATAATAGTCTCAGCATTCAGCCAAAAGTTTTTTTTAAAGACTATGAAACTTCAATGTTGAATATGAAGTATTTTGTTTAGTAATAATAAATTTATGAGCAGTACTACAGTTTACAGCCAAAATATAGTGACCTAAAAATGCCATTCTGCATTGCTCCTTCCTATACATCGTGTCCTTAACTAGTCCAGGGGAAAATTAGAACGAATGAATTGTGGCGAGAGCCCGAAGCCAGCGAATGTATTTAAATGAATCCTTCTGATGCAATACTTTCCTTAAAAAAAAAAAAAATACAATTAAGTCTTTGTATTTCCTTTGAACAAAACCTCATGTTTAATAGCGCCCATGGCTCTGTAGTAAAATCTATTTAAAAACAGAGAAGGAGACACAGTAAGTTTTATACAGTTACAGTGGCTTTGAAAACACATTGTTAGTTTCTGAAGTCTGAGCATATTTATGGTGAATTAATTCCACTGACCCACATTAAAAAATTCATCCTCCTTTTTTTTAATTCCTGAAGATTTGTCATTATATGAGCATTATTCACTTTGACAAAGCTGTGTTACTTAAAGTGTCCTCTTGAATCAATATAACTATAGAAATGTGAGAAACAGTTTGGCAAGATGATAATGCCTTAAAATTACTGGGAATATTTTCCTGCACATTGCGGTACAATGGATGCATGAGAATTCAAATATAAAGAAATCATAAGGCAGTTGCATAAATGTAGATGGCATATTAGTGTCAGCTGCAGATAAAACAATGCCCTTAAAGAGACTGGAGGAAGCAGAAGTTAAATGCAATAGTCTTACTAATTCCTAGGTCTGATGGGGTTCCAAAAGGCCACTTGAATCTGGACAAGTTAGAGCAGGCTAGAGGCTGCTCTAGCATTCAGGAGAACTTAATGTGGGAAATACTGTTCAGTGTCACCTTTACTTTCCCACCTGGTCTTGGTGGAGTCACAGGTGAGTAGCTGGTATTCAAGCATTGCTCTAAATGTATAGCCCCATGCCACTATTTTTCTCTGGAATTCTTTCTAGCAAAAGTGTGCATAAAAAGAGATAAGTATAAAAAGTGTCATGTTGTTCTGTATGTAAACCCACATACTTTTCTTACTGTTCAGAACTAGCAAATTACCTTTTTACATATGTAGGCAGAGCAAAGACAATAAAATAGTATACAGGAAAATTTCTAAAACAGAATAATGGCGGGAAAGAAGATTGGTAAAGCATTCTAATAAATGAGTTCCACAGATGTGGCTGTTACTATAAAATTAGCTTTGCATAACTTACCAATATGCCATTACATTTTCCCCCAGATGTTTATCTGTTACTTAAATTAATTTTACTTAAGTTACTGTTATTGTAGATTTTATCCATGCTGTATTTTATTATTTAAGTTTCTGTGGCATAAAACAAGCCCTGGCTGATAGCATTACTTTTAATACTATATGTAAAAGGTTTTAGTATTATGCAAATGGCTGCTGGGTATATCTTAATAGTCATAGCACAGAACGTCTGCTCTCAAAATATTATGTAGATTAAAACCAGCTATTTACTTACATTCTAATGCAAGTCATTGGAAAGGTTTGCAGTATTTATGTGTGTGGTATGAAGGGAAACAATCCACTCCGGGAATAAATATCAGAGTTTGGAAATTAGCAAAGCTAAGGTCAAGGTCAGTTTGGATTTACTAACATACATGCTGAAAATTAGAATTTATAGTTTATGTTTACTTATTTCAGAGATGAGAAAAGAGACTAAGGGGGTGGTGTGTTTGCCTCTTTGATACAAGGCTTTTGTATCACAGAAACATTTTAAAACCATCATTTCAGTTTAATATTATCTGAAATTCTGTACTCCTTTCCACAGAGTCTTAACGTAAATTCTCTGTAGCTAATCTTACCAAACACAGGAAAACAATGATTTATAAGGATTGGAAAAAATATCCCAAGTTCAGCGCAGACCATTTCTAAAACCTTGTAACATCTTTCAAAGCCTTTCAATGGCTTTCCAACTGATATGGATTTGATTTTATATGAATGGCAGGCGCATTTAAAAAAGGCTGTTCTTTGTAAGTTATTCCTTATATTTGTATCATCTGTGTATTTCTAATAGTATGCCCCAGGACTTTGTCCTACCAAAGGCCTGCACAGACTTCTCTCATATACATATATATATATGAGAGATTTGCTATGAAACAAAATATTTAATACAGGATATATATTAGTTTGCCATTTATGCTAAGCATGCCCAGCTGCACACCTATAAATGTGCTGAATTTCAGTTGCTGGAATAAAAGGCATCTACAAGATATTGTTTGTTAGCTGCCTGTATTTCATGTGGTTGAATTTGAATGAATAACTAATGGACAGAGATGCACTGCCACACTGACTCAAACCTGCCTTCCTCCCCACCTTTAACCTGCCAGCATATGCAAACGGCACAAATCCACCCTACCTGCCTTCTAAGGCATCGCCCTCCAGCATTCCTACAAGAGGTTTTTCTGCAAGGCTGCTATCACTCTACAAATACATTTGCCATCCTGTTCTGCAGCAATGCTATACACAAGGTCCAAAGGACTGAAGGATATTATGAAGCACTTAAAAACTTAATCCAGATGTATGATCTGTGCAGTGTGATTAAGATGGCAGAGCTTCCTTCTGAACGCCTTCACTGTACACATTTGTATTAATATTTAAAGTAGAATTAAGATCAATGAGGGATTAAACTTGGACTCTGAATTACATTCCCCAGTTGCTAATGATACACATGGAAATTCTGTGTGCATGTTCCTGGGCAGGAGCTTTCAAACTGCTGTGTCTCAAATGAGACAAAACTTCAGTAAATCGAATACATACTTTATGCTCTTTTCCCTGCATTTCAGAATTCAAGTTAATACTTTTAGAAGAGAATTTTCCATGTTTCTGAGCTGAGATGTGAATCAACTTTGTTGACAATACATCAGTAATTAATCTAGTCCAA